CCAAAAGACGAATTCGAGAATTCGGAAAAATCAGGAATTTACGAAATTGAATGTAAGGACTGCAAAATATTATGGACAGACAAAAAGATCCATTGAAGTAAGATATAAGGAACACATAGCATACTTAAATATGGAAGACCTGAAAAATCAGCAGTCGCCCATTATATTTTGCAACAAAACCATTCCATAGACTTCAGTTCATTAGGATTAGTTAGACAGAAAAACCAGCAGTCGTCCATTATATTTTGCAACAAAACCATTCCATAGACTTCAGTTCTTTAAGATTAGTTAGACAAGTTAACAACAACAGGCAACTAGATGCCTATGAGAGTGTAGAAATAAGTGAACATTTGCCAAATGGTGAAATAGAAACGAATCCCTTTAAATGTTGAATGCATTATTTCATTCCTCTTTTTTAAGTATTTAAATGATTTTTCAAAGAGAAAGGTTGAAATGATGAGTTTAAAATGCGTTGTTTCAGAGCTATTTTATGAAAACTACTTGATTTTCGTCAGAAGGAACATTCCCTATTCATGATGTGACTGAAATGTTTGCACTGACATTTATTTTGTATCGAATACCTGGTACTGTAGGTCAGTTTAGGTTGTCAAATTGTTGAGTGTTTCATCTCCCTTCACTTGGACAGTTGTTAAGCTTGATGGTAACAGACGTTGGAATATTATGGTTATGTGTAGATGGGTGGAAATAACGGGAAAATCCTTAAAGCGCTCTAAGAGCGGTGCCTGTGCGAAAGTAGCGATTCACGTTGGATTTGAAACGCTGGAGATTGAACTCATTTGAAAAAACCTTCTTTGGAAGTTTATTCCACATAAACACGGTGTTCTCCAAAAAAAAAGATCTCAAACAGTGGGGTTCGAAGTGTACTAATATTTAGAATATGAACTCACGCTCAGCTTTTTCAAAAGAAATCCCAAAGAACCTAAGTTTCACAATTCACGGAAATAGCTGAACCACCCGGTAGACAAATTTCATTTTTCTGAATTGTATCTATGGATATTGAAAAATACCAGCTGAACTCGCATCTTCGAATATATTTTACGAGAAGAGATAGAAAGCAATCATTTTCAGACCTTGCCATTTTAGGTATTCAGATATGTGCGAACGAAATACCGAATGAGGAAATTTATCTCCGTATTATAATTTCTAATGAAGCAGCGGGCGAATTTATGTTCTTTTATTTTTTGGAGAATTTTACATGGTTGCATTCGACACTTCTGAACCAACAAGCAAACAATAAAATATTTTATGTACTTTTCGAATCGAATCATGTTCAAAAAATCCTAGCATTAAGAATGAGGGTAATTTGAACTAGAATATATCACCCAGTGTCAGCATCTAAAATGTTGTCGGAAGGTAAGTATGAAGTAAGTTCTAAAAATAAGGTTAATGTTTAAATTTCGCATACTACGTACAATTTTTCATCATTTTATGTTTGTAGACTCGTCTCGAACATATGTTCACAGTACAGCTGTTTAGCATGTTCAGTTTGTTGGTGAGAGAGAGAGAGAGAGAGAGAGAGAGAGCGAGAGAGAGAGAGAGAGAGAGAGAGAGAAGGGGGATTCTTGAATAGTGAAGTTCGAGGTGTACTAAAAGTTCAGCGTTTTTCATGTGATTGACTTGAGAACTGAAATAAAGACAGTCTATTAGAAATTTTAATGTAAATTTAATAGTTTCAACTTATCTATTGAAATTTAATTATCTTCGTCAGCATCCTCGTCAGACGGATTTCCATCTCTGTTGACCTCGTTAATACTCTTCTTTTTGCACATTTTTGCAAAGTGATTATTTTAACCACATGCCCACATGCCAAATGCTGACCTCGAAACCTTGCAACCGAATTTGAATTTAAGCGCAAACCACACACACTTTGTTGTTGCGCACACTGCCGACTGATTTGCTGCTGATTTGAGTCTGTGCTCCGGCCATTTTGTTGTTACCTTGTAGAGGTTTTTGGATTGTGTCCTTTATAAACAGTTTCAATTTCCAAACTGGATTCCCTGTAATGTGCTCTGGAACTAGACATCATGGTTGACTGCTCTCTCGATTTTTCTACTGCTAAACAAATTTTTATAGCTCCGTCCAAGTCTTTTTCATCTTCCTGTAGAAGTTTTACTTTGAGCATCTGATTCTGCAAACCACATATCCTTGATGAGACTATCTTTTATTATATCGAATTCACACGAACAGGCTTTATTTTTTAGGTCAGTCACGAACTGTTCTATCGTCTCACCAGATTGTTGTTTCCTCGAAAAAAACTTGAATCTTTTATAAGATAGGTTTTTTTTCGGTAAAAAGTGATTTTCGAAATTTTGCACAACATTGTCCAATTTATTTTTCTCGCTTTCACTTGCAAATGTGAAGGTATTATATATTGATATTCCTTCTTCTCCAATATAGTGAAGAAGTTGGGCGATTTGTACTTTTTCGTCCTTTTTGTTAGCCTCTGTAGCCACAAGGTAGTTTTCGAATTTCTGTCGCCACTGCTTTCAATTTTCCGATAATACCGGAGAAATTCATAGGTGCAATTCCTCTGTATGCACCTATCTCGTTTCTACTTTCAATTATGTACTTATTTTTCAATTTTAATTTCAATTAACATTTTATTTCCGACTGCGCCATGTTATTTATCTGAATGAAACGACGATTTCTAATAGACTGTCTTTATTTCAGTTCTCAAGTCAAAATGATCCACCACCTGACAATAATGATGTCGATATGACTGATCAAGATGAGTTTGAACCTTCATCTTTGTCTAATAACAGTAGTTACTGCTACTCTAATCCAGAAGCAACATCATCTGGTAGACCAGTTAAAAAGCCAGACAGGCTAATGCACTATTAAAAATGTTAATTTCATAATTTTTTCCATTTCTTTGTTATTTTCAACCTACTCAGAAGTGAAAATGTTCAAGCCCATTGACCATAAATTGTAATTTCATTGTTTAAAAAAAAGGGAGATGTCACGTATTGTATTTCTTATTCTCAGTCAATATATTGTACAACATGTAAACATAGTAAATCGTAGCAGCCTTGGCGGAAGCAAAAACTAAAAGTTCAGCGTTTTTTATGTAATTGACTTGAGGACTGAAATAAAAACAGTCTATTGAAAATCGTCGTTTCGTTCAGATATATAACAATGAGCAGCCACAATTCATCGCGTATTTCTGATATATACCGCTCTTGGTGGAATCAAATGTGCCAAGTCACTTGAACACTTCCTGTGAAAGTATCTACGGAAGAGAGAGAAATCTCCACCCTTTCTTCGATGTTTCAGATTATCAAGGTTGCAAGTGATGTTCGCGTCTCCAATCAGCCGGATAACTCTTTCCTAGATAGAATTTAGCAACTTCAAGGTATGTTTAGGAACGAAGATCCATACATGAGAACAATACTTCAAAGAAGGTGTGATCTGAGCTTTATGAAGCATCAAAAGTTGTTGTGTAATTTATATATGGTTGATATTGTCCCAATGGAAGAGCCCAAGAGAGCCAAGACCAAAAAAGCACACCAAGTTTGATCAAATGTCAAGGTTTTGATCACTGTTTTCTTCTATCATCGTAGCGTAGTGCATCAGCAGTCGTACAGTCAATAAGTACTATCTGGAAGTTAGTAATAAAAAGAAAACCTCCGACATTGTGGAAAAACAATTTACAGATTTTGCATCACACCTGCACACTAGTCATTGGTTGTTCATAATTTTTTGGTTGAAAACAATATCGTAATCATTAGCTATGAAAATTCTATTTTAAAAACCCGTTACGCTGCTGTCACACGACGCGTTTCAACTGGTGGAAGTGCATGTATTGGAAGTGAAGGAAAAGTTGAGAGTATTTGTGAATCGCTCACAAGTTTTTCCGTCAATATAATATTTTTGGAGTCTCTATCTATCACAAGGGAGAATTGATAGCATCTCTATGCCAAAAAATATTCTGAACCAATATTGAAGAACAAATAATCTATATGAACAATTCATTCGGGATAGTCTTTCATTACCTACACAGTAGGTTCATGGACTGACACTGACATCAGAAAACAGCTACTTCCCTGGCTGATACCACGAAGGGCGTTGGATTATATCTGACAGGTGTCAGTGCAGAATTCTTCACTGAAGTTATTCCTACATATGATTTCATATGAGAAATGCATGAGATGCAAAATGTATGATACTAAACAGTTGAAGCATGAAAATATTGTAAACATGACATTCCAAAATAAATATCTTTCAGATGAGTCACGTATATAATATTCAACGATTGAGAATGATTATTTTTATTTGCAGTTTCGAAATGATTTCTTCAATGTTTGTGATCTACATCGGTTAATGAATATACAGGGTATCACATGAGTACGTTAAAATAAGTGACGTGTTCCTGAAGCAATTTTGAGAAAAAAAATCTATATAAACCCGTGTCCGGAAATGCTTCGTGTCGGAGATACAGGGTAAGAATTAAATTTTTTGTTCGTTTTTTAGAGTTATTAGCACGAAATTTGGTACCCGGGTTTTTTTGACGTGGGAAATCATAATTTTGTATTGATTTTCATGTAACATCTAGAGGGCGCTGCGTACACTGTCATTAAGTATTTGAAATTGTCCTAACTTTTTTGACAGTGAACTGTTGGTACTTTTCATGAAAAAACCCAATTTCCACACCTTTTTTAAGTAAAAAAGGTACACTTTCTCAACAACACTGAAGATGATCGGTTTCGAGATATTTATTTCCTATATCGATGCATATCACTCAGCTCCTAGGGCGCTAAGTGAAGATGCTGAGAACATTCACAAAAACAACTTCGTTTTCTGAAATGTTTATCGAAAAATTACATCCTGTTCTCGTGTATCTTCACAAAAAAAAAGAAAGTCGTATCAAATTTAGTAGTATCAAGTACAAACTTCATACAATCAGCTCAAACTTTATCGAGTATTTCAATGTCACTATGTTTCTGAACGATCTCTAGAAATAATTAAAAATTCACTCGTACCTCTCAATGAAAGGTCTTCCATTTTCAGCAATATATCGGACTCCATGCAAAGTAGAGTGCTCGAAAAACAATTTCCCTTGCACGCTCCAGCTTGTTTTCAACATCTGATAGTTATTTGGCACATCTTTGCCTTTTTTTCCAGACATTTTCTAATCGAATTTCCACGAGTGAATACGTTTCCTATCAATAGCAAACAGAGAATGCCTTTTGTTGTCAGGTAATGGGGGAAACGCTCGCGTGTTTTTCCACATCAAAGAAAAAATATTTATTCTGTTGAATAGTCCGGAGCTCTGAAATATATGTTACTAAATTGAGTGTAACGTATGCATGAAAAATGTTCGTCAATTTATAGGATTTTTAGAGACACACAGGTTCCTGATATGAGGCAAGTATTCTGTATGAATATTCTTAATAACATTCGAAAACGAAATATTCAGTTAACCCTAGCTGGGTACTCCTACCAAACAAGGAACAGAGATAACTCTGTGATTGACACTTGTGAGAAAATGATTGGACGAAGTACTGCCTCTTACTTGGGACCACGAATTTATCAGATAATATATCCGATGTGATCGAAGACAATCATAATAACAAAACTTTCAACGAAAAAGTTGAAAAACGGGCTTTGCTCACCGAAATATCAATTCTCCAGGACCTGGGCAATAAACATAATCGAAAATATACACAAACAATAAAAATAGAAAAACAAATCGTAATATTATAGCGGCTATGTTCAGAACCTTCCATGTATTGTACGTTCAACCGTCAATAATCATAGGTGCATAGGTTATCAAGAGTTGAACCACTATGGTGTGAAGCTAATACATCCTGCCTGGTTCAATCCCCGTACGTGGGTCTAGCAAGCATGAGTATCGCCTCTGCCTTTTTTTCAACTCTTTCTAGATGTTGGTTCCAGGTCAGCCTGGGATCTAGTATCACTTCCAGATATTTGACTTTCTTCGACAGATTCATCTCTTCATCTCGAAGTTTCAGAGATCCTAGGCCTTCTGTTTTGGCCTTCTTCGTGAAGGCTATGTTTAGCTTATGTTCAGCCCTTCTTCGTCGGACCATTCAGTTACAATCTGCAGTAGGTATATTATTATATTTGCCCTGGACTGGGATGACAAAGTCGTCTGCTTATCCCAGTCGTTTGTGTGTAATAGTCCAGAAGACGTCCATTATAAGGCTCCATAACAGTGGGGACAAACCCCCCGAGAATAACCCCTCGCTTCCCGTGTCACTACTGTACTAATGGGGTACCCCCTCATGATTTCTCAGCTACAAACATCTCAGCCAAAAAATCTCAGTTGGATAAAGATATCGTGACAAAAAGTCTAGCCAAATTAAATATCACACAAACACTTCTCCAATTTCGGCATTTGATATATTCCAGTCGTTATTTACCGAACACACTCCTGCTCCTTGTTTATATCAAGCGTGTTATTAACATATTTTTGCATCGAGATTTTTTGTGCGAGATGTTTTAGTCCTAAGATGTATTTGTTTCGAAATGGTATCACTAAAATATTTCTGTCTGAGATATTATTCATGAGATTGAAAGAGGAGGAGCTCCTTCCATGATGGTTGTGTATACCAATCTTCCTCTGAGCATGCAGTTATCCAGCTGCAGCTTGTGTCGCAGGTCAATCATCCAGGCGTTTCGACGCTTGGATGATTGATTCTTGGAACATATTATCAGATGTTCCCTCAATGTCCAAAAAAGCAGCAGAAAACATTCATTTGTTCCTATGAGCAAATTCTGCTTTTTCCGTGAACCGGCATAAAGTCGTTTTCGTCGACAAATTTGATCCGTTGGCATATTGGTCTCGATGAAGTGACCCGGTAGCCAGTGTTATGTCGCTGAGATGCCTGTCAAGTGGTTTTCCTAATGTCTTTAATGTAAATGATATGACACTGATTGGTCTCAAGGCTTTCGTCGAGTCCTGACCGATTTGGAATGAAGTTGGCCCTAATCAGTCTCCATATTTTTGGTATATATCCCAGAGCCAAACATGCTCTGAGGATAATACATAATTTCTTCTGTAGAGGTTCCAGTCCATTATTACTGCATTATCTTGACTTACTGGTATAGTTTCTACAACAACTTAGTCAATCGTAGATGCGCGATGTGTATAGTAATTCCTGAAACAAGATCTGCACAAGGCGTCTGGGACAATTAAGTTTTGTCTGCAGCCTCAAAAGTGAGATTTATGTTGACCTACATTTGGGAGAATAAAGCTTTTCATTCTAAACTCTGCAGCAGATAAGATCAGATAAAAAGCCGATGAATCATACTCATTCTCGAGTTACAAATAATATAAATCGGGAACTCAGGTCTATGAATACCCTCTCACTTTAAGAAAAAGTTATCAGTGAGTTGGTAGAATGAATTCAACAATGAATTGAATAATCACAATAATGGTTTTTCTACATCTGAAAAAGTCATTTGTAACAAACTGGGCATACTGCTTTACATCAGACATTTAAAAAGATAAGGGTTCATTTCAAGGAAACGTATTTGGTTCCTACTATTCATTTTGTACCTAAATGATATGTATCTCTATACTGACTGTGAATTCATAAATTTTTTGTGCCTGTGCTCAAAAGGTAAGGTGAAAATATATCTGAGAATTAACAAAGTGACATTGAATACAGCCAATTTTTTTGTTTTTTTTTGAGTCCAGTTCAATGGCTTCCTTAACCTCAAAATATATTACCATCTTTGAGTTTATTCAACACAGAACTATAAAAACATGTACATAGTAGAGTTTGATTTCTAGCAAAGTTCTTGATTTTCCTTTTTTTAAATTTGCTTCAGAACTGAGTTCGGCATAGTGTAATGGAAATGGAATTGATTTCAATTTCAGCAGTATACGTACTTGCTTTTGATATACAGTTTTTATTGAATAGAATTTTCTTTCGTTTTTCGGATTTTCTATTTTTCTTACCGAGAAAAGAGAATTTCATAAACACTCCCAGTGTTTGATTAGGTTAACTGTTATTGTTATTACATCATGGATCAAACATTTTCACTGAGGACCTAGACTAAATTATACTGAATAGAATGTTGTTTCCTTTGTATGTCCATTACACTACCGATAATACAATGAAAGAGCACAATGGGGACATCTGGGTGGAATATGTATATTATTGCTTTGTGCATGCATTCGATGAATATGTACATTTGGTTAATAATTGCTCTAGTTTGTATAGTTATAAACGGTAATCAGAGGAGCAATAATGATTTTGTTGTCAAGGGATGAGCTGAGCATTTCTGCTTTGTCGGTTAGATGTGAAAGATAATTATTACTGGCATAAATTCTTGAGCCTCAGGAATAAATGAATACCTATATGTAGATATAGACCTTCTATCGGTGAAGTTTTTTATTGATTTCTGGATACTTTTTCATTTACCATCTATTGCTTGAAAACTTGTAATGTTATAATTGGTGACGGAAACAATTCTAAAGTAGTAATCGACAGTATCAGAACGAAACAATGTAATAACTTTCACCTGTCGGTTGCATAAAACACTATTCTTTAGAATTCTCCCATAACCATTGGACAAAGACTGTTGTCTGTCCGGATCAAGTCTGGTCGCCATGTGAAATGTTTTGAGTTAAAATTATCATTTCTGATAAGTAATGTATTTATTTTGTAGATGATTTCATGAATATTGGATAGTATTGAACATGCTAAATGTAAACAATCTGAAAAGTACTGATTTCTCAATAACTTTAGATAAAACTTGTGAAACTGAAATTGGTCTAAAAGTTGTCATTTGGTCTGGTCATTTACCTGCTTCAAATGATGGTTTAACTTTATCACTTCTGGCATAATTGGGTACCAAACTTGTTGAAATTAATATAGGATTCATTAGTTTACTTATCAGTGGCGATATGATATGATTCTAATCGTTATTCCATCGAGCTTTCCTCGAATCCAACATACTAATAATTTCCTTTATTCCTTCTCGTTCGGATACATGGACTATATTCAAAATGTCTTACAAGAAAGGGGTTTTTCCTTCGTCTTGGTAGATTGCTCGCGTTCAGCCTATTCCCAAAAAGGCCAAGAAAAATCTTCCAGATAACTATAGACCTTTCACTTTTCTATCAGTGATGTCAAAAATTATGGAGAAAGTCGTAAACCGCCATATTTCCAAATATTTGGAAGTCTTTAACATCTTGAGCGATCATCAATATGGCTTTCGGAACCAGAGATCAACAGGCAACCTTCTATTGTTTGTCACCCATATTTGGAATAACGCAATCGAGAAACATGGAGAATCAAGTGCTGTTGCGCTTGATATTTCTAGGGCCTTTGACCGTGTCTGGCATGAGAGTTTGCTGGCAAAACTTCGATGCTATGGCTTGTCGAACCATTTCTGTGTATGGCTCTTCAGCTTCCTGAAAGAACGTTCCCTACAAATGGCCGTCGAGGGATATCGTCGATGGATATCTCTCGAATACTTCCACCATCAACGCTGGTGTTCCCCAGGGATCCATATTGTCTCCAACCCTCTTTTTATTATATATAAACGACTTATTGGAAAAAACCAAGAATCCAATATATTGCTTTGCTGATGATAGCATACTTGTCTCGTCATTCTATTTGGATTCCAGGACATCGAATACGGAGGCACATCTTCACCGGCAGCAGGAGGTTGCATATCTTAATAAAGATCTAGAAATGATTTCGAATTGGGTTGAAAGTAACCAGGTCCAAATCGTAACCGGATATAATAATCAGGGCAGACAATTCCACTTCGATAAGTTAGTTGGAGGTTAAAATGGACACCAATATGTCTTGGTACACTCATGTCGCTGGAATTGCAAAGGCTGCTTCTCAAAAGCTTGGAACAGTGTTCCAAACCAGAAAACTGTACACACCTCAGCAACTTTTGATGCTTCATAAAGGTCAGATCAGACCTCCTTTGGAGTATTGTTCTCATGTATGGAGTTCTACCCTTAAACATACCCTGAAGTTGCTGGATTCTACCCAGAAAAGAGCCATCTGCCTGATTGGAGACACAAACATCACCTGCAAACTTGATAGTCTAGAACAGCGGTTCCTAAATGGTGGTCCACGGAATCCTGGGGTTCCGTGGAATGGGCGCAGGGGTTCCGCGCCCATCCAACAGTTGAACATTCGTAGAAAAGACTCATAACTAC